TAATAATAATAATAATAATAATAATAATAATAATAATAATAATAATAATAATAATAATAATAATAATAAAGTTGGAAGGGACCTTGGAGGTCATCGAGTCCAACCCCCTGCCCAGGCAGGAACCCTACACCATTTCAGACAAACGGCTGTCCAGCCTCTTCTTAAAAACTTCCAGTGTTGGAGCATTCACCACTTCTGGAGGCAGGTTGTTCCATTGGTTAATTGTTCTAACTGTCAGGAAGTTTCTCCTTAGTTCTAAGTTGCTTCTCTCCTTGATCAGTTTCCACCCGTTGCTTCTCGTCCTGCCTTCAGGCGCCTTGGAGAATAGCTTGACTCCCTCTTCTTTGGAGCAGCCCCTGAGATACTGGAACACTGCTATCATGTCCCCCCTCATCCTTCTCTTCCTTAAACTAGACATCCCCAATTCCAGCAACCGTTCCTTATATGCTTTAGCCTCCAGTCCCCAAATCATCTTCGTTGCTCTTCTCTGTACTCTTTCTAGAGTCTCAGCATCTTTTTTACATCGTGGTGACCAAAACTGGATGCAGTATTCCAAGTGTGGCCTTACCAAGGCATTGTAAAGTGGTATTAATACTTCACGTGATCAAATTACAAGCAACTTTAATGAAAGGCAAATAATCTGGGACGTGAAATCATAAAACCGGGTTGCACAGATGCTGGTCTTTAAACAACATTTAAGTTTTATGAAAGAGAGCTTGGTGTACTGGTTAAAGGCGCTGAGCTACAAACTCGGTTTGCATTAGCCAGGTCAGTCACACACACAGCCCTAGGAGAAAGAAGGCAAGGGAAAAATAAAATAAAAATGAAGAAACATTGCCAAGAAAATTCTACTCACTTGTCCAGATGGTCACCAAAAGTCCAAGATTGATCCCACCCCCCCAAGGCACAAAATTAAAAAATGCACAAAAGTCTTAAGAACCCAGCTTAATGATTACAGAGAATTTGTGGAAGCGATTTACTGCCTCGTGTTGTTTTCTCTTTCCGCGCTCCTTTACGATCTTCTTTGTCTGCTTTCTCTCCTAGCTGCAATCAGGGGCGTCACCACCAAAGACCTCTACTCTGAATTTGATCTGGATCTGAATGATTAGGAGGAATGTAAAATGTGACACACACACACACCTTGACTGTGGAAATATAATGCGTGGCGAAAAGGCAATCACTGTAAGTTCATTATTCCCCCAGAAATATTAATGAAGCAGTAGCTTTAACTTTGGGGCAAAAAAAAAAAAAATCATTTAATGGATGGAGAAGCTGTTGGACTTATTACCACCGTTTGGAGACGGACAGAACAGAATTTTCTAGATCTGGACAAATCTCTGCAGAATTCTAGAAAGCTGCCCTGGATTGAGGAATTGCTAATGAGCCTCTCTTCGCTGTGAGAGTTGACCAGGTTAAACTATAAAGCCATAAAAATAGAAAAGAGTTATTAATTGTAATAAGGGCTGCAGGTGTCATTGATAGTCTAAATGGAAGTGCCTTCAGCCTTGGGTCCATTCAAGTTGAGCCCTGTTTTCTCCTCCCCCAAAGAGGGCTGAATTTGAAGGTGGAATCCTCTCCAAATCATTGTGAATTGTTAACTATGATCTGAAATGTAGGCTTCTTCAAATATGGCTGTTGAAAAGAGCGAGGGGCCCCTGCTCTTTTGGAACATGTCGAGAAAGCAACATTTGTCTATAAAAATGGTGATTTATTTGCTTGGGAGTGAATTTCAAAAGCGTTGGTGAGATGGTTTAGCTTTTGACGCTGAAATGAAGGGATGTGTTTTTTGCGTTGAAATCCAGACATTGCATTCCACAGACAGGGGCATAAATTGAAAAACAGATCAGTCCTTTTGACTTCCATTTAGTAACCAACATCTGGTAAGAATGTTTATTTCCATGCTAGGAAGAAACAAAATAGCTTACTTTAATAGATATTTGGTTGGTGTTTGAAATACACAACTGTGGTAACAATATGTTACTTTGAAATATCCAATTTCAGCCACAATAACTAATTTTGCTGTGCTGGATCTGGGCACAGTATCCAATCTTTCTTCCTTCCTTCCTTCGTCCCTCTCTCCTTTCTTTCTTTCTTTCTTTCTTTCTTTCTTTCTTTCTTTCTTTCTTTCTTTCTTTCTTTCTTTCTTTCTTTCTTTCTTTCTCTTTCTTCCTTCCTTCCTTCTTTCTTTCTTTCTCTTTCTTTCTTTCTTTCTTTCTTTCTTTCTTTCTTTCTTTCTTTCTTTCTTTCTCTTTCAAATTGCAATATCCTTGGCATGTTGTTTAGAAAGGAACATGCCAACTTGGAACTTTCTGATCCAAGCTAAAAATTGGAATTCCCGGGATGTTTCACCAGGCTTTCCCCCAATATTCCGAGAATTCTAGCAAATTTCCTATTGAATTCTGGATCTGGGTCAGATTCGGTCTCTTTCACCCTCCACCCCAGGCTTCAGGCGCCCAAGACTGCTTTCGAGTTCAGCATCTACTTTCTGTTTGACTTGCAAAATTGCCCGCTGGATGTTAGGGAGGTCCCACTGTGTCCTCAGCAGCGCGTCCTCCAGCACAAGGACGCCGTCCCGAAACCGCCTCACTTGGGTGCACACCGCCGTAGTCTTCAGTTCCAACCCTATTTCGTGAACTACCTTGCGGAGATACTGTTGGGTCTCGTGCAAGCAGTGAATTTCTAAGAAAGGCAGGAAAGAAAAGCCAGTAGCTAAGCAAAATTTAAAGCTGCACTTTCATAATTGCAACTTGGAAGAGTTGAACAGGACTCTGTTCCCTCGCCCCAGTTTATTAAAATAATTTCAGGCCGGTCTGGCTAAGAAAGAAATGAATCTTTCAGCTGTTGGGCATCTTAGGGGAAACTCCCAATTCTTTTGTCTTTCGAGCCCAATTCTGATGAATCAGCTTTATACTAGGTTCTTGAGTAAAAGCCATTCTTACTGGCCCAGTTTTTATTTTCTGGACTAGAGGCGTCACGGATTTTAGCAGGATGTAGACTGCCTTTAATTGCACTATTTTCACTTTCCTTTGACATTGCTGAAAAACAGTATGGTGGACAAAGTGTAGAATCCCCTGGTCTCTGTCATTTAATCCAAAGTTTCTCAAACTTGGCCACTTTAAGATGGACTTCAATTCCCAGAATTCCACAGTGTGGGGAATTCCAGATGTTTTAAAAGTGGCCAAGGTTGAGAAACACTGATTAACTCTAAACCAGGGGTCTTCAAACTCGGCCCTTTTATGACTTGTGGACTTCAGTTCCCAGAATTCCACAGTGTGGAGAATTCCAGATGTTTTAAAAGTGGCCAAGGTTGACAAACACTGATTAACTCTAAACCAGGGGTCTTCAAACTCGGCCCTTTTATGACTTGTGGGCTTCAACTCCCAGAATTCCTCAGCCAGGCATGCTGGCTGAGGAATTCTGGGAGTTGAAGTCCACAAGTCATCAAAGGACCGAGTTTGAAGACCCCTGTTCTAAACCAATGCTGATTATTTTTGCAGCATCCCTGGTAGCTATCCAACCCACCACTAGTTCATTCCTTCAAAGTCATCTTTTCCGATTTGGTGTAACGGGAACAAAGTCGGGGGGGGGGGAGATTTAAAGAGGGTTCCGGAGCTTAATTTCCTATTTTTTTAAAATAAAACAAGGTCGCCAGTCGGCCATACCCAGCTGGAATTCAGGTGGATCAAATCGGAGACATCGCACAGCCGTGATCAAAGGCGGGCTATTGTCCATGGGCCGAATGAGGCCTTTGACAGCCAACTCGTAGGCTTCTTGAGTTTTCAAGTCCAGGTTAGCCCACCTGGAAAGGTATGGGGATAGAAAAAGAGAAGCATAATTATTTGGGAACAACAGGTCAGTCCAGGATATCGCGATTGGTGTCCTTTAACAGCCATCGTCAAAGTCCATTTTATTTCGCCCACATTGCTGTGAATGTTATTCCCTCCAAGTTCCAAAGAAGGGATTCGTTTTTGCTATGATACAGCTAGTCCCCGACTTCATTTAGTGACTGTTCANCAACTTGCAGGACTGGCCTAGGGGAAAATTTTAATGGGGTTTTAAAGCAATTTTTAAATTAACTTGACCAAATTACTAATATTTGTTTTTACTTATGTTTTTAAATTTGTAGTTTTTGGGGATTAGTGTTTTATCTGGTTGTTAGCCGCCCTGAGTCCGTAAGGAGAAGGGCGGGATATAAATTAAATTAATAAATAAAATAAATTAATAAATAAATAAATGTGATCAAAATTCAGACGCTTGGCAACGGACGGTTGCAATACGCTGAGATCCTACTATCCCCTTTTGTGACCTTCAGAATCAGAATAGCGCGGGAAGGGACCTTGGAGGTCTTCTAGTCCAGCCCCCTGCTCAGGCAGGAGACCCTATACTATTTCAGACAGGTGGCTGTCCAGTCTCTTCTTAAAAACCTCCAGGGATGGAGCATCCACAACTTCTGGAGGTAAGCCATCCCAGTGATGAATAGAATAACAGAATTGGAAGGGACCTTGGAGGTCTTCTAGTCCAACCCCTTGCTCAGGCAGGAGTCCCTATATCATTTCAGACAAGTGGCTGTCCAGTCTCTTCTTTAAAACCTCCAGTGATGGAGCACCCATGATTTTTGAAGGCAAGTTGTTCCACTGGTTAATTGTCCTCACTGTCAGGAAGTTTCTCCTTAATTCCAGGTTGCTTCTCTCCTTGATTAGTTTCCATCTTTTCTTGTCCTGCCTTCTGCTGCTTTGGAGAATAGCTTGACTCCCTCTTCTTTGTGGCAGCCCCTCAAATACTGGCATACTGCTATCATGTCCCCCCCTAGTCCTTCTTTTCTCTAGACTGGCCAAACCCAGTTCCTGCAATCGTTCTTCGTGTGTTTTAGTCTCCAGGCCTTTAATCCTCTTAAAGGCCTGGAAACTAAAACACATGAAGAACGGCTGCAGGATTTGGGCATTGCTCTTCTCTGTACTTTTTCCAAACTTCTAGATTTAAAGAGGATTTCATTCAATAATTGCAGTAATTCGCTGAACAACTAAAAGGTCGTAAAAGTGAACGCGATTCTCAGCCATCTTATTTAGCAACGGAAATCCTGGTCCCAGGTCCAGCACTCTTTTTATTGGTAACACTTACATCCCCAAAGAAGTGTATAATCCCCCCCCCCAACCTGGATTCTCTGGTCCAGAAGTGCTAGAGAACTCTGGTTAATTTAACCAAGCCACCCTGACAGACGTGATTCTCCTTGTTTACCAAAGCTTTTAACCCAGCACGCCAAGTTTGAGTGCAACAGGAAAGCCGCGGTTAGCTACTTCTGGTATTTTCTGGAGGAGAGCCAAGAGCCTAAGGGTTGCAACAGGGGTGTGTATATTGTGAGAAGCCAGCTTTCCCTAACCTGGTGTGGCCCAGGTATGTCGGACTTCTGTTTTCCCATCGCTCCCAGTAGCTTTGATTGTCAAGTTGCTGCCAATTCATCAATAAAGACAGAAGTTGGCCCAGCCACAAATGCTTTACGGGCTACCGCTTGGCCCTAAATTTCCCCCTTTTGCAAAACTCCACACTCGTTTCGAACGTACGAATATTTTATTATGCATGCTGCGAAAAGTCGGTCAACTCCTGCTCTAATACCACATCCCCCCCCCCAAAAAAACAGGATGTTTTGTTCCCCTCCAGCCTCTCTCCCAACTGAGAAATTGCACCCTCCGGGGAACCAATCTCATTTTCACTGTTTTTTTGTTTTTAAATAAACTGGGTCTTGCTTCCACCACCCAGGAGAGAGACTCTTTCCATTCACAGCCTCGCCGACTTGGGCAGAGTCCATTTTATTTTAGATTTAAGAGCCTTTCCCGAGATCGGCCTTCAGCTCTTTTTTTTTTTTTTATCAACCTCTTCCGGATCGTCTTCCTCCTCGCCCCGGCAAGCAGGGATGCGAAACCTGGCAGAACAGCCCGGCTTTCCGATCCCCGCGTCCTAGTTTAAGGCTTCTTCTCGTCCTCTCCCGCAGGGACGGAAGGCGGCTGATGCTGCAGGGGGTAATTCTGCAGGTACTCAAGGAACTCTTCGGCCCGCCGGTCCGCCTCCGTCTCGGGGCGCAAATAGCACCAGAGGAGCATCAGGAAGATGACCAGGTTGATCAGCAAGGCCCGCCAGGCGGGCTGCCGCTGGTCGCTGCCCATGGACTGCCAGACGGTCCACCGGCGGGGGTTGGCCGGGCTCTTGGTGAAGCACAGCGGCTCCGAGTTTTCGGGCTCCTCCGGCTTTTTGGCCGGGCTGTAGAGGCGCCGGGGGAGGAAGCCGAGGGACGGGGGCGGCCTGCGGAGAAAACAGAAGGAGGTTGGTGACCGCCTCCGTGCCACCTCACCATGCCGCCTTCTCGCCTTCCAGGCAGGGTCTGCAGATTTTGGACAAGACTGAACACTCAGCGACCGATCGAAGTTACGAAGTCGGAGCGGTTTACAGCCCATTTTTCAGAGCTACGATAGCCGCACCGGCCCATACATTTGCAACTGGCTTGCCTTGATGGCCGTTTGCACCATCTTGCGGTCAGGAGCACACTCCCCCCCCTCCCCTAACAAATCTGTTTTTGCCCCGTTTCTGGCGTTTATTCCTGGTGTCCGGCAAGAAAAAATGCATTTGCTCAAACGGTTGCTGCGATCCCTTCACGACCGTTGTAAAGCAAACAGTCCCGGCTTCCAATCTGGTCCGGTGATGCCTCAACGTACGACTGCGATGACCGATAGATGGCCATAATTCCTGGCTCAATGACGGTCATACATCAAGGCCCGTTGTAGCTTGCCAAGTGTCCGGCAGCGGGACAGCGAAGTGGTCTAACGCTTGCGCGCGTGAGATAAAGATTCTTTTTGCTAAGTGAACAAAAGTCCACCATACCTCAAGCTAGCAGTTTGGAAAGCTGTTTCAGTGGGCTTATTTGGGGTCACAAAAAGTCAGAAAGGATTTTTTTTTTTTTTTTTTGCATCCTGATAGCACTCACTGCGGATTGCAACGTTCCCAGGGCAAATTGGTTGTAGGGTGTGGATATGGCCGGTCTAGAGAAAAGAAGGACTAGCGGGATTCCAGTATTTGAGGGGCTGCCACAAAGAGGAGGGGGTCAATTTATCTTCCAAAGCACCCGAAGGCAGGACAAGAAACAATGGATGGAAACTGATCAAGGAGAAAAGCAACCCTGGAATTAAGGAGAAACTTCCTAACAGTGAGGACAATAAACCAGTGGAACTGCTTGCCTCCAGAAGTTGTGGGTGCTCCATTATTGGAGGTTTTTAAGAAGAGACTGGACAGTCACTTGTCTGAAATGGTGTAGGTCAGGGGTAGGCAACCTTGGCTCTTTTATGACTCATGGACTTCAACTCCCAGAATTCCTTAGCCAGCATGGCTCAGCTTGGAAACCTCTCCTTTTCCCCTCAGCATGGCTGGCTCAGGAATTCTGGGAGTTGAAGTCCACGAGTCATAAAAGAGCCAAGGTTGCCTACTCCTGGTGTAGGTTCTCCTGCTTGAGCAGGGGGCTGGACTAGAAGACCTCCAAAGTCCCTTCCAGCTCTATCCCGATTCTAATTCTTCCTGAATGTCCCTAATTTTAAGCAGGGTTGAGCCAGGCCCCTTCCACACCACACCAGAAGCACGTTGCCCTTCAAACACAGTCACTGCAATTTGGTACTCACTGCAGTAAAGCCTTGTGATTGGATCCCTGGATCACCGAAACAATCCGCTCCAGCTTCTCCCGTGTTACGTGATCTCCAAAGAAGAAGACAATCCACGTTTAGCTTCCTTTCCTCTGATTTCCCCCCATCTTTTCCCAAAGCAATTCAGAAAAGATTTTTTCCAATCCTGGGAAATCACCAACCGTAGAGCCGGTCGCCTTAGGCCCCCTGGACGAGTCACTTACCAAATGTGCTCTTCTCAATCAGCTTCCCGGTGTCCGAGAAATTGTCGGTGGCTTTGCCAAAGAAGCCGCTAACGGTGTATGCCTTTGGAAAGGGAAACATCCTGATAGCACACTGCGCCTTGCAAAGGCAGAGAGAGAAACTCCCTCAAAGCAGAATTGTCAGCCCAAGAAAAGACCCAAGAGCCGAACTTGCTGTTTTGGACAGAAATTGTTCTTGAATATCAACGGAGAGGGAAACCCCTCTCCTATCTAGCACTGATGATGTTACCTAGTTGGGTCATGAAATGTCTGCGAGAAAAGAAGCAAGCTCAGAGAGCACCAAGGACCCCACAGTCCTCCTCTTCCTTCTCCTCCTTCTCTTCTCCTCCTCCTCCCTGCAAGCTCCACTCCCTTCTAGAACTGATGATGTTACCTAGTTGGGTCATGAAATGTCTGCGAGAAAAGAAGCAAGCTCAGAGAGCACCGAGGACCCCACAATCCTCCTCTTCCTTCTCCTCCTCCTCCTCCTCCCTGCAAGCCCCACTCCCTTCTAGCACTGATGCTGTTACCTAGTTGGGTAGTGAAATGTCTGCAAGAAAAGAAGCAAGCTCAGAGAGCATCAAAGACCCCACAGTCCTCTTCCTCCTCCTCCTCCTTCTCTTTTTCTCCTCCTCCTCCTCCTCCTCCCTGCAATCCCCACTCCCTTCTAGCACTGATGATGTTACCTAGTTGGGTAATGAAACATCTGCAAGAAAACCACCAGGCTCAGAGAGCACCAAGGACCCCACAGTTCTCTTCCTCTTCTCCATTCATTCTCCTCCTTCCTGTTTTCTTTCTCCCCCTCCTCCTCCTTGCAAACCCCACTCCCTTCTAGCACTGATGATGTTACCTAGCTGGGTAATGAAACGTCTGCAAGCAAACAGCCCAACTCGGAGAGCACCAAGGACCCCAGAGTTCTCCTCATCTCCACCAATCCCACTCCCTTCTAGCACTGATGATGTTACCTAGTTGGGTAATGAAAGGTCTGCAAGAAAACCACCAGGCTCAAAGGCCACCAAGAACCCCACAGTTCGATCCTCAGCTACAGATATTCTCTTCTACAAAGTTTCTTCCAGCTCAGGAGATGAAGCTAAATTTACGTCTCCACATGCCTCGTGGGCTATTTTGAGAGCCTCCCCGAGACTTAAGGGGGGTTTATTTACAAATTGAGGGATTTCCCCATGTGTGCTACACCAGCTCTCCCTAAATATAAACAGAGCTTTGCGTTGCAAACAAATAGCGCTGCCTACTAAGCGCCAGAAACGGAGGGGCTGCTTACCCTGGTAAGATGTGCATTGTACCAATCTTTGAGCAGCTTGGTGCCGTGACCCACGCCGAGTACTGGAGGAGTAAAACGCAGAAGGCAAAACAACTTGAGAATTAAAAACGTCACAGTCTCCTATCATTGAGTTCCAGCAGCCAGATCAAAGTGGCTTTAAATTAATCTGGGCAGGAATAATTGCCCAGAACACTGGGGGGGGGGGGGAGAAAGGATTGTTCAAAATTGTAAATCCATCATCCTAGAAAAATTCTGGATAAGCCCCCGTTTTCAAACAGGAGAAGCTTAAAAAAAACCAACAACAACACAATCCAATAAAGCTGAGTAGTCGTTCCTAATAGGGTTAACGGAAACATTTCTAAAAGCCGAGTGAATTGCAGGAGAAAAAGATGCTTTTTCAAGAAGCAACTGGACTTTCTTGTTTTTCTTTGAAGACGTTTCGCTTCTCCTCCAAGAAGCTTCTTCAGCTCTAACTGGATGGTGGGGAAGGGAAGGATTTATACTCCTTGCAGACAGCTGGTCATTTTCATCCATTTAGAGAGAAAGTTGGTCCATAAGAAAGGCTGAGCGCCAAAGAATGGAGGCCTTTGCACTCTGGTGCTGGAGAAGACTCCTGCGAGTCCCCTGGACTGCAAGGCGATCAAACCGGTCAGTCCTAGAGGAGATCAACCCCGACTGCTCTTTAGAAGGCCAGATCCTGAAGTTGACACTCAAGGACTTCGGCCACCTAATGAGAAGGAAGGACTCACTGGAGAAGAGCCTCATGCTGGGAAAGATGGAGGGCAAGAGAAGAAGGGGACGACAGAGAAGGAGGTGGCTGGATGGAGTCACTGAAGCAGGAGGCCTGAGCTTCAATGGACGCCAGAAGATGGGAGAGGACAGGAAGGCCTGGAGGAACGTTGTCCATGGGGTCACGATGGGTCGGACACGACTTTGCAACTAACAACAACAAGCCATTTGGAGGTTTACCTGTGTCCTCAGGATCATCTGAGTTGTGCAAATGGGTATGGAGTCAGAAGCTTCTTGGATGAGAAGCGAAACATCTTCAAAGAAAAATAAAGAATTCCAGGTGCCTCCTGAAAAAGCACCTTTGGGACAACCAGGATCTGGAGGATCGAGACTCTCCATAGATATATTGACGCTCTGCTGATATCCCAGTTCAAAACTGGCTTAGTAAGTTTGATCAAGCCTCCCTTTCCTTCCCAAGGAATTTTAATGCCTAGAGTTGCTTTTACTTACCAAACACTCCGGACGATTGCATGTCCAGACGAGGGCCTGCTCCAACGTTTAACTGCGTAAAAACCGGTCCCGAAACTGTGAGGAAAACCAACACGGATTTTAACAGCGGAAAAGGACGCTCCCGCTGTACAAAGCAAACGGTGAGAAATCAAAAACATTCCCACTGGGCCAAGCAAAAGATTACCTTTTAATTATTATTATTTTTAAAGAAAAATGCCCAACATGGTGGTGGTGTTTTTTTTAAAAAAGATGCCAGATGGCATCCACCGCGCCATTCAGCCTGAAAAGAGGAAATGTTTTGCCAAGAATCCTGGAAAAGCTCCTGGCTGGGGGAAGGTTGATTTCACACAGTGAAAATTATTCAGCGGAAGATCTCGGACAAAACACAAGCGGCAAAGATAAGATTTCTCCTTCGGACTGGCGGCGCTCCTGATCCAGTTTTGCCTGGGTCCCGATTTCTGCAAATTCTCTTCCACCATCTTACCTAAAGGATGGTCAGCCAGCATAGGAACCTGGCTAACCGTCAAGGTTAATTCCTTCCCGCTCTCCTCCTTTTCGGCCACGCTGGGCTGAAAGCATATTTGTTGACAAGGTTCTGGGTGCTTTAACGAGTTTAAGCCTGGAAGCAGAAAACAAAACATTTTTTTCCCCTCTTCACATCCCCTCTGACATCTGGATTCCTCAGACCTTTCTTCTGAGTCAAGCGCGCAGGAATTTGTATTTGAGCCGGGGGGGCTGGATTAGAAGACCTCCAAGGTCCCTTCCAACTCTTTTGTTAGTTTTCTGGAAACTCGTCCCATTTTGCTAAACGCCTCTTGGGAAGGAAGACAAGGCTTTCCTGATAGGTTTACAGCCATCCATTCCGCTCCTTTGGAGCCCTCCAGATGTTCTCAACTTCTGGGAAAAGCCGTGTTATGTATCTGAGGGGTCCTTGGTACTAACACTGATGACGTTGCCTAGTTTGGGTCATGAAACGTCTGCAAGGAAACAGCCAAGCTCAGAGAGCACCAAAGATTCCACAGTCCTCTTCCTCCTCCTCCTCCTCCCTGCAAAGCCCATTCCCTTCTAGCACTGATGATGTTCCCTAGTTGGGTCATGAAATGTCTGCAAAAAAACCCACCCAAGCTCAGAGAGCACCAAAGATTCCACAGTCGTCGTCTTCTCGCAAACCCCACTTCCTTCTAGCCCTGATGATGTTCCCTAGTTGGGTGATGAAACGTCTGCAAGAAGAGCACCAAGCTCAGAGAGCACCAAGGACCCCACAGTCCTCCTCCTCCTCCTCCTCCTCCTCCTCCTCCCTGCAAGCCCCACTTCCTTCTAGCCCTGATGACGTTACCTAGTTGGGTAATGAAATGTCTGCAAGAAAAGGAGCAAGCTCAGAGAGCACCCCGAGGACCCCACAGCTCCTCTTCTCCATTATTTCTCCTCCCTCCTTCCTCTTTTCCTTCTCCTCCTCCTCCTCCTCTTGTCTGCAAACCCATTCCTTTAGCACTGATAACATTCCCTAGTTGGGTCATGAGACGTCCGCAAGAAAACCACCAAGCTCAGAGAGCACCAAGGACCCCTTCATTTCAATCTTGACCCACAAATCGCCTTTATGATGCATCTAGCGGGGGCTTCCTGCGTAAACCAGGATCGTTTGTGGCCCTCCAGAGCAGCCTCTCCCTCCAAAGCTAAAAATCTGGGGGTGGGGGAGAAACTAGCTTCTGTGTGTGTGTGTGTGTGTGTGTGTGTGTAACAGCTGGAACGGAAATCCAGCCCCGAGGAACAGGCAGAGGCGCAATCGCGCCCTTGGAAAACCCGCTGCGCGCTGGCAAAAGCGCAAAGGGGGAAACGGGGGAGGCGCCCGCGGGCGGCGCGCTTGCAGAATCTGCACCGCTGGGGGGGGCAGGGGGTGTCGGCAGTCTCTGGCCGGGGGGGGGCTGAAAGGAGAAGCGGGGGGGGGGCTCGGAGGAGGAAGCGGCTCACCCTTGATCAGGTGCAGCTTCACCGTCTCCGTGACCGTCATCCAGTGCACGCCCGGCGGCTTGTAGACGGCGAAGAGCCCTTGCAGAGCCGTGCCCGCCGCCGCCGCCCGCATGGTGCCCGCCCCGCCGCCGTCCTCCTCGGCCGGTGCAACCGCCTCTCCGCTCCCCCTAGCGCTGCCGGGTTGAGTCCTACTGGAAATAGAGTCCCCCCGGGAACACGAGCCCGCCCGAGCAGCCTGCCAGCCAGCCGGCCGTCTCCGAGCCGAGAGAAGCGCAAAGCGAAAGCGGCTGTTGCGCGCAACGGCCGGCGCGCCCGGGGAGCCGTGCCAAGAGGGTTGGGGGCTTCTGGGAAGGCCCGGGTTGGGGTCTTTGCAACAGGGGCTCGCTCGCCCGAGGGGCGGACAACTCCAAAGCACGCACACATACCTCTCTCTCTCTCTCTCACACACACACACACACAAACACACACACACACACCGACCCTAGATCCAGAGGGCGGACAATTCTCTCTCTCTCTCTCTCTCTCACACACACACACACACA